GAGAGAGAGAGAGAGAGAGAGAGAGAGAGAGAGAGAGAGAGAGAGAGTGTGTGTGTGTGTGTGTGTGTTTGCATTGTATGTGTGTGTATATGTGTGCGTATGTTTGTGTGTGAGAGATGGAAAAGAGAGAGAGAGAGAGAGAGAGAGAGAGAGAGAGAGAGAGAGAGAGAGAGTGTGTGTGTGTGTGTGTGTGTTTGCATTGTATGTGTGTGTATATGTGTGCGTATGTTTGTGTGTGAGAGATGGAAAAGAGAGAGAGAGAGAGAGAGAGAGAGAGAGAGAGAAAGAGAGAGAGAGAGAGAGTTGAGGGGAGGGGAGGAGAAAAGAGGTATTCTTCTTACATGCCCACCTATTCAGTGACCGGTTTGAAGAACAATAATACAATAATATAGTCCTTTTCCCTGTGACCTGCCCAGTGTGGCCATATGCCAAATTATGGAGCGGAGGACTCTCTCGACGTGCGATGGTAGATAGCGGAAGTGATTCCAGTCCCCCTCTCAGGGGACGCTATTCTCTGCCTGTCAGCTCAGGGGAGATAACGCCTTAGGCTGTCTCCGGTACTCGTCCTTTTTGTGTTGACGCCCGCACGAAGTCTTGTCAGTCATTGCGAGTTCTTAGGGACTTATTCTCGGGAATGGAGGGTGGTTACTAAAGAGCTGTCCAAATACTGAGGGATCTGGGCTTCCGTTTTAAAAAAAAGGTCCCAACGAGTTTGTCGGTGGCGTACTTTTTGAGGATCGTAGTAGGACTAAGTTGGTATCTGTCGTTGACACGTGGCGCTCCTCTGATCGAAGTTTGGCTGTCGGGAACTTCATCCAGGGACAGTTAAACACCCGTCGACAGCGGCAAAATTACGCCTTGAAGACGTAAATTTATTTTGCTTGCCCTCCGGAAGGGGCGTCGTCGGCCTACCGGTGAAATTGGCCGTATCATGATCGTCACCAACGCGGATTGACTGTCGGTGGCTTGCTCCCCCCCCCCTCGCTCTTCCTGCCCTCTACTTTCCTCCTTTTAGATCCCACCAACACACTAGGCTGTACCACCATAATGTCTGCCTCGACCTCCGTCACCCCGAGGCTGTTTTCCTTCCATTTCCCGGAAGAGAATTTTGTGCAGAGAAGTGACGTCAAGTTAACTATCCCACTGTTGTAACGTCGTCATTTTCTCATTTCCCTGCCGGGGTCGATGTTTCCAATTTGCCGCGGCACGTGCTCGGTATGTTGTGGACCAGGGACGCTGCTGGCTGTGAAAGAGCAACTATGAACATAATATAGTTCAGTCCCCATCGTATTGAATTCGAAGGAAAACTTTGATGACATTTTTAAAAAAATCTTTGTAGGTTATAACAAATTGACTCCAGTTTTATATATCCGTACATTATAAATGAAATTGCTTAAAAAATTATGTAGAGAAATACTAAATGTCTAATTTTAGCCTAAAATTGCCTTCCTACTACTGATCACATTTGTTGTTCTTGTTGTTATTAAAGTGCTGTTGCTGTTCTTTTCTAACGCTGAAATTATATGTGTGAACTGAAAAAGCCACAAAGGGTCATGGCAGCGAAGAGTAACAACGGAGAAGGCTTTCCAACTTCATATAAAGTGTAGCATTCGTATTTTTTGCCTCTTTGAATACTCTTATTTTCTATCCAGATCCGTAGTATCTACCTCCTTGGTGATGGATGCGGGATTAGTCGGATCTTTCTCTTACAGTTTTTTGTCAGATCGCTTCAATTACAAGTTGTTCTTCTGGTTTTCTCAACACTATATTATGACTAAGAGTATATGCATATATTTTTTCTCAGACATGTACTTGAACACGCTTTATAATTATTATCCACTCCTTTCTATGACGATTTCCCCAAAATTACGTTTCAATTCAATTCGCCCACCCCCAGCTTTTTCAAATAATTATACCAAGCATTACATGTATATAGGAGCAGTTTATAATGCGAATTTATGGAGACAATCCTATGCCATGGACTCCTTGAGCAAAGGTAGATCTAACAGCTGTGGAAACCTGCCTCCCCATTTCACTACACAGTCCTTCGTCCCCGCCTGTAGTGACTCTATGCAGCCTTTATTAATTGAAATCTGGCTTAAAATTGCAACTGAACAGGGTGTCTTAATACCATGGAGCATTCGGAGCCAAGAGATCCCGTACGAGGCCAAGAGATCTCCAACTAGGTCACAAAATCCCGTGACTCGTGACACCGGGGGCCAGACTCTGTCCCCTGTGGAAGGGACCACCGTACAACACAGGGGTCACACGCCAGCCCTCTTAGCGACAGATTGGTCGTGGAAAAGCTTGACCGTCCGCGATTCCGTCAAACGAAACAAAGTCACGTGCCTCGGACGTGAAGTGGGCGTTTCTTGGAGATTTTTTTACTCTCTGGATGAAAATGTGAAGTGAAGGGACGGGACTCCTCGCTCGCTCTTTTCTTGACGGCTGAAAGAAATTTTGGATTTGGAAAGGAGGAGTTTGACGCTGGAAAGCGTCTGAAAGATAATAATGTCACGTTGCAGTCTGCCTGTCTCTCTGTCGTCGTCAGTTGTATCGTCACCGTTTTCTTCGCGAACGAGTGTAATACCCAAACATTCTTTCGTTTTGTTGCATGTTTGTTTAGATGTGTTTTTACCCACACGGCGCACATTGGGTAAAAGACATTAAATGAAATGTTCCGTGTTCTTTCGAAGCTGTAAGATCATTTCTAACTTTATTTAGGGCACATTATGTTGAAATATTTTATAAGCTTGTCTGTTGCTAAGAAAGAAATCCTAACGCCACTGGTTCCCTTTCTCCCATTTTCTTCCGGATCTGACAAGAAACGTTTCATAAGGTTATTGTTATAATGTTGTTGTCGTCGTCGTCGTCGTCGTCGTCGTCGTCTTCTTCTTCTTCTTCTTCTTCTTCTTCTT